TCTCTTCGGGACAGCTAGGGTCGTAAACGACCCGTCCATTTCTTCTGGAATAGAGGAATTTCAGGAATGGCCTGAAACTCCGTCTTCTCACTGCTAAGCCCCGCCTTCTTCCCACGCTTGCCATTTTCTATACCTCAAAAATAATAAGATCTCCACAAAAATAAGGCCAAGCACTTTTTCCGGGGGGGGGGGTTCAAAAGAAATTGAGACCCTGACTTATTTTTGGGGAAACATGGTAGTTAACAGCTGTCTTTTTTTCACTTAAGAATGAATAAGGTATGTGTGCTTTGCCTAAAGAGGAGACATTAAAGCTACTGGTTGATACTTTACCTTGTAAATTACCAAATATGTACTCACTGCTCATTTACGCATCCAGAGCCCATTCGATTTAATTAAAGCATACCTGAATTAAGTTACATTAAGTACTCACTTCAGAGTAAAGGTCTGTAATTTTTGGAAGAGGTGGGTGGGTTTCAACCTCCAAAGCAGCTGAAGACGAAGAGGAGGCAATGGATGGAAACTAATTACGGAGAGAAGCAATCTAGAATTAAGGAGAAATTTCCTGACAGTGAAAACAATCAGCTTGCCTTCAGAAATTATGGATGCTCCATCACTGGAGGTTTTTTTAAAGAAGGGATTGGACAACCATTTGTCTAAAACGGTATAGGGTTTCCTGCTTAAACAGAGGTTAGAAGACTTCCAAGGTCCCTTCAAACTCTGTTATTCTGTTTTTAAAATCAGTCATTTTTAGAGATGTAATCTATGGGGTTGTGTAATGTACCCAACTACCAAAACATTCAAGTGGAAGTGAGAGGTAGGAATTGTGGCTGGAAGACAATTTTTGCAAATGTGGTTGCAGCTACAATTGGCAAGTGTTTGGAAAAAGTCAAGAGTTGGAAAGTGGTAGCAGGGCTGAAGACGATGTTTTAAAACAGAGGATGAAAATTAATCAAACCCACTGATTATTATTTCCTCTTTCATGTTGGGGCAAATGATAAACAAAGATCCTGAAAACAATATCAAGAGACTATGAGGAGTTAGGCATGAAAGCCAAAGAGATAGAAGCACAAGTGTTGTTTTCATCTGTACTTCCGACAGAAGGTCAACAGCCAATGAGGAAATGGAGGATTCTAGAAGTAAATCCTCTGGCTTAAGGGATGGTGCCTTCAAGAGAACTTTGGATTTCTAGACTATGGTTTACCTACAGAAAGGACTTCTGTGAAGTACTTCACAGGGACAGGGAAGAATGTTTGGAAAACAACTGGCCAAAAGATGCTGAGGCCATAGAAAGAGTGCAGAGAAGAGTAACAAAAATGATATGCATTTAGAAGCTAAATCGTGCAATCACTGGCTAAGGATATGTTTAGCCTAAGAGGTGTAAGCATGGCATATTACCTCTCTTCCAATATTTGAAGGGTTGTCACAGGGAAGAGGGGGTTGATTTATTCTCTAAAACACTGAAGACAGGACAAGAAACAATGGATGGAAGTTCAGAGAGAGAGAGAGAGAGAGAGACAACCTGGAACTAGGGGGAAACTTCCTGACAGAACAGTTAGTCAACCTGCCTCCAGAATTGTGGCTTTCAGGGAAAATATATTTTTTTAATCTTTCAAAAAAAAATTGGACAATCATTTGTCCGGGATGGAATAAGGATTCCTGCCTAAGGTAGCGCATTGAATTAGAAGAATTCAAAGGTCTCTTCCCGCCCAAGATTCTATGATTTTAATTAGCTGACTTGATTGCTGTAACATTTCATCATTTGTGAGATTGATAGCTGAAAAATTGATGATATAATTTCTGGAA